GGAAATAAGAGAAATATTGCAACGGAAAGAAACGAATACAGCAGAAATGCTGCGAAGTAGTACAATTAGGAACAGATGATATAAGTGGTAGATTGGGAGGGAGTCCCGTAAGTAATGACGTCCTCTGTAGATTATCTGGATAACCATATGGCCAGCTCCCAAAGGCAACTGTCATATGTCTCGTATCCAACCTCTACAGCAACCTGCCAATCTCTACGACAACCTGGGCTTTTGATTTATTAAAAAAAGAATTAAAAAAAGGGAGAACAGCACCGAAACAGACGAACAGCATTTACCATTAAATATATGTTATGAACAGGAAATTAACATCAAGGGATTGCAAGCCCGAAGTGATGCCACACCATTGAAGTAGACTGGGGATTGAGAGGGTAATGGCTTGGAAAGCAGGACAGGAGAGAAATGGATGAAGGACAAGCATCAAAAGTACAATGGCGGGGCGAACATGGCTGTGTTACCTTCCCGAGTAAAAGCACAATTTACTCTTCGGAGATATGAAAGTGCAGAAGCAAAACTTAGCCGTTGTAAAGCCTGCATAGAATGAACCCATGGAAACCCTAGTTATTTATCCAAGAAGGTGAAGTACTCACCTTTCGCAGATGTACCAACACCAAAGTGCCAGCAAGTGGACTTGAAGGAGGGCAGCAGCAGGTGCAAAGTTGGGCAACAGTAGTAGTACTTGGGCCGGGGGGGGGGGGGGGGGGGGGGGGGGGGGGGGGGGGGGGGGGGGGGAGGGGGGAGAGAGGGGAGGAGTGGAGGGTGTCGTGTCCTCTGGCCTTCTGATTGCCAAGATCAACCACGGCCCACGACATTTACTGGGCCAACTCACTTTCCAGTTCGCCATCAACTTGAACACTGCAGCTGCATATCCACCAAACATAGGCAGTGCTTTGCTACATGAGGCCAAGCATGGTACTATCCAGCTCCCATCTATCATTTTCCCAAGGATTTCTCTGAATTAGAATTGTCTAGTTTTCCAGCAAATCAATTTATCTTCCGTTCCAAACAGCACTTCTCCTGTTTCTCAGTTCTATATAGCGGTCTTGGGAGTCTGGTGGTGCCTGCATGGTACTTTGTGTCATTGACAGCGCTTACGCTCTTCGATATACTTAAGTCGGATTTCATCCCTGCTCAGGTGTATCACCAAAGTAGGTTAACGTAAGTCTTGCTGTGGTGCCTACGAGGTGCATTTTGTCTTGTTGACAGATGTCACACTATTGGATCCGAAATGGCCTTCAGGATCATGGCATTCGCGTAGCACAAAGCTGCGGATTGCTGTGCTATCTGGGATACATATTACATAAGATTCTTTGCATTGGCTGCGAGGAAAAGCAGACCATTAGCTATTTGGTTTTCAATTTTTCATACAGTTCATAAGTTCTTTTTCTGACTACCTCATACGTTCTTTTTCTGGCTTTATAGGTTTCTCTGGTTTTTGTGCTGCAACTCTTGTCATTCATCTTGGTGGGTAGTGATCATTCCAAACAAGTCTGCCCTCCTAGATAGCGCATCAGCAACAACTTTGTTCTTAGCTTTTACTGGTTTCAATTCAAAGTCAACCATCTCAGCATCGTGTGGTCTGAGTAAACTTCGGTAGTGTCTACGAAGTACGTGATGCCACCATGTTCTCGTAGCCTCATATGATGGGCGTCTCTTTGACATGGAACTCCAGTGGGCAATATCTTCTACACCATCCTGCTGTAGTGCTGCATCTATCCCACAATGGCTCGGAGCTGGGTATTCTGTTAGCGCTTGCTTCACCTTCTTAAATGACAATGTACAATCTTCGTGAGAAAGCCTGATGGCTTTTTTCTTGAGAAGTCTGTGCAGTGGGGTTACAACTGCAGTAACGTTCATGAAAAAGCTAGTTAAACCTTGGAAGGAACACAGTTCCGCAAGGTTTTTCAGCATTGGCCAATTGCTGATGACCGCAATCTTCTTGTCCTACCATTCTACTCCACCTCCATCTACCACACAACCGAGGCACACCACTCTGTGCTTAGCTCACTCTTGCTCTTGAACACTGACATCTTGCTCTTGAACACTGACATGTCATCTAGACACACTCGACAACGTGGCAAGCCAGTCCCTAAACATTATCATTCATGTAGCACTGTCAAGTTGCAGGGCCATATTAGTCAGTCTGGTGTGCATCACAATAAACTCGAGTCGTCCACCTCTAGTCTGCAATGCTGTGTGAGGTTGCTTCCTAGCCAGTTCAATCTGGTAATACCTGGATTTCAAATCCATCTTCGAGAAGTACTTCCATCCCCACAACCTATCTAGCAGATGATCTATGTGTGGCAATGGCTGTGCATATTTCATGTTGATGATATTTAAGTGTCGACAAGGAGCTTACTATCCCCAGGCCGTATTGGTAGAGGGTCTTTGGCCATCACGGGTGTGTGTGTGTGGGGGGGGGGGGGGTTGTGTGTGGTGTGCGCGTGCCCATAGACACTGCTGTTACTCAATGTTGGGGAAGTGGATGGGAGCCAGACTACTGGCAAACTGCTCCGTCTTCGCGTCAGCCAGGCCCATCAACTGAGATGGTTGGCTAGCTTTCCCTCGTGCATTAGCCGGGCCCACCCTACTCCCTGACCACCACCGATTAGGGTGTGGGGCAACATGATCCCCTTGATTGTGAGAGGTAACTATGCTTGAAGGGGTCCCTTATATAGGCTTAGGAGTTGAGGTAGGTAGGGAGTGAGAGGTGAAATTGAGAGAAGAATGTAGCTTAGCTTCTTTAAAAAAAGTGTCGAGAAGGAGAGCCAGTGTGGTTCGGCCCGCTTCAAAAAGGAGTATTGGTGTAATGGAAACTAGTGTGTACAGATCCCTCAGTTGCTTCCAAATTCAGGAACTGAAAAATCGGGGATATGTATGCAGTGCTGAAAAAGAAACATATATAAATGGAGTAAATGGAACCTTAATGAGAAAGAATGGTGTTTTATCCTTTAGGTTCTCCAGCCAAAGAATTAACCCCCTCCTCTGGAGCCTTTTGGGACTACAGAGTATACTGAACATGCACAAGGAAACACACAGACACGCAGACGGACAGAAGGCACACGAGAGACAGAGAGAGCTATGAACAAGAGAGGAATAGGAGGAAGGAGAGAGAGATACGGGAGAAATGACTGGGAGACAAGAGGGGGAGAAGTGGAAGCCAGGCCAGAGAGGTAAGTGCAATGAACACCTAAAAAATTCAAATTGCATATACTAACCTGACTGACCCCAGTTTGAGGCTTCACATTCGATGCATTGGGCCAATTACCCGTAGACACAGGCCTTTCCAAATCCATTGTGAAAACAGTGGGCCGGAGTCCATCACCAATCATTGGACCTCCCTCATCATCAACATGCTGCTCAGATAACAGGGATCAAGCCATATAAGGGGTCATTACCCGTAGCAGAATGCCCGAAGGGTGCCCGCATTGCGCAAAAACAGTTCAACAATCCTTTATCAAATCGTGCAATTTGCCATATACTCTAATGACAATTCGCATCAATACAACTGAAAATTTCAAAAATCACAGGATTGGTGAATCATGGGTACATAGCTCTGCATGTGTACGTGCAAACACACTACATACTCATTATCCCTATTTAGCCCATGATTCTCATGTACCAGTGATTCTTCTGTTAGCATGAACTATGTAATCAAAATTCTAAGTCGCAATGTTGAAACTGGCTGCAGCATTGACATCAGTCTGAAAGGTAACCTTTTACGCAGCTTACCATGGTTGCCCATTAAACCACCACTGCTGAGGCGGAAGAGAACTGCACGTCAAACTTCGCCGAAGTGCGAGCACAACGTCTGTACTTCTTTTTGGCTGGTGCCGCCAGCCATTTTCGTCCGGTAGCACTGTTCACCTGTAGAGTGCGCTTTATGGTAAACTGGTGTTCCAAGTTTACCTGTGAAAGGTAGTAATGGATCACCTGTCCAACATTGCCAATTATTACACAGTCACAAGTACATAACAGACCAAGGAGGACAACTACAAGACTAACATCCCGTGATTCTTAGATACACCAGAAGTTGGCTTCTACATACATGTCAGTCGTGAAATGGTAATCGTGTCTGCAGCAGTAAGTTACCGTGCAAACTACAGTCCAATGTCCATATGATACTCCTATCCAAAAACACCAGTTAGTAACTTGGCATGGTAACCACTGTCCATTTGGTAATCATGTCCCGCACACGTGCCGCACTGCGCACAGCGCGCGACGTGCACGCACTGGGTGCAGCGCACCCCGAAAATAAGGGGCCGAGAAAAAAAAAGAAAGTCGGGGAGGGGAGTTTTAGGCCCGAGTGGGATGTTGCATCATAAACCACAAAAAAATAAAAACAAAAATTTGAAGCCATGCGGGGCCTCCGAAAAAAAAAAGGGGGGAAGTCCGTTTATTTGTTTGTTTGTTTGTGTGTGGGTGTGTGCGTGTGTGTGTGTGTGTGTGTGTGTGTGTGTGTGAGAGAGAGAGAGAGAGAGAGAGAGAGAGAGAGAGAGAGAGAGAGAGGNGTGTGTGTGTGTGTGTGTGTGTGTGTGTGTGTGAGAGAGAGAGAGAGAGAGAGAGAGAGAGAGAGAGAGAGAGAGAGAGGTCACAAAGAGGGAGAGAGGAGTAGCGATGGTGGATGGCGGAAGGTGGGAGAAAGGCCGAAGGTGGGATGGTGGGAAGCGGCGGAAGAAGTCAGGAGAGAGAGAGAGAGAGAAGGCAGTGAGAGAGAAAAAAGACAGAGAGAGAGAGGAATGAATCTACCGCTAGAACATGGAAATATACATTGCGCACATGCACGCAGCACACCAGACGTGCGCAGAGCGCACTGCACACCCAGATGTGCGGCGCGCGCACCCTGGGTCCGCGCACAGCGCACCGCGCAGTGTGCGCGCAGTGCACACTGCGCACCCAGATGCGCGGCGCGCTGTCAGGCGGCCGCAAGCAGTGCGCCGCTTGAGATCTGCAGTTTTGGGACTTAGGCGCAGAGACGAGTCTTAGTTTTAACGGTACTCTTGTTAGACCGGGCAGCGGAAATTAGGGGAGCTCGGGGCGCCCTTGAATTTGGGCGCACTGAACCGTACGGGTAACCCTCAAAAATGGCAAGATGGGTGGTCGCACTCGGCACATCAACAAACCGTCATTTCTGGCCGTTCGGAGGGTTAGACCCGAATTGGCCTGCCGCGAGGGGGCATCGCGGGGACTAACCCCGCTGCGACGTTCTTTGCAGCGTATGATCGGGGTCAAAATAGCGCCTCAAATTTTTGTCATTTTCAGTATCTAAATCAAAGATGGGGGAAGGGAATGAGATCAGTAGGAGGGAAGAGAGAAACGTAATATCCGTTAATTTCCTTGTTTTTTTTTCTCGCAGCATTTGAGTTTTGGAGAAAATACTCCGTTATTTTTATGTTTTCTGGCAATGGAATTGAAGACAAAGGGAAAGATTAAAAATGATAAAGGAGGAAAGGAACAGAGGATTTCAACAATTTGTAACAATGACGAGGGGGAAGAAAACCCATGATTATCAGGTGATCGGCGGAATTTTGGTCGGTCTATTCGGGGTCCGGTTCAATCCCAAATTATTTATTTATTCTATATCTGACGGTCTTTATTGATTTGCGATGATTGGGATTGCTTGGCTGGACTTACCTGATCTCCCTGATTTTTAGACTTGCCGTACGGATTGGACGGACAGCGTGGTGCTACCGATATGTGGCTTGATAGTGCCCCACGGCTCCAATGCGTCAGTATGACTGTTGTTCCGGTTCGGGCGTGAGGGTTGGGACAGGTTCGGAATTATCACGGTGGGGCTGTATGGGTTAGACATCGACATGTTTCAGGTTCGATATGGGCATGGCATCGGCATGGTACGGTTGTGATACACACCGTAGTTCATTTTCAGGTTCGGAACAGGTTTGGTGGTACAGCGGTACGTTGCGGCTTGTCCTCATGCTTTTCAAGGTACGAGACGAATACGGAACATGCACGGTGTCTGAGTGTTTGGGGCCACACCTGGGCCGACCATGGCAAAAACACAATAATCTTGCGGTATTAATTTTGGTACAGGCACGGATTTGGCATTGGAACAGGTCGCTGCCGCATGATGCTATCAATTTCCTATGGAGACCTTGCTGCGGCGCTGAGACTGCTACTGACTGCCCCGGTCAACTACGTTATTTGGACCCCTTTTGCTGTTCTCCTGGCCCGGGCTGGTTCGATGATATGCTCCGCTCATAGTTCGAGAGTCAAGACGGGCTAAGACTGTGCACTGGTGCTGCCTATTTCTGGTCCGCGGGACGCTGGCCGCACCGACTGGTCATGCTGCAGGTACGGACGGAGAAGAGTTGCCAGCCCCTCTGGCCAGTGCTGCGGGGTCTGGGAATTACAGCGGGGGCCAGCGAGACAAAAGGGGCGAGGACTTCTCGGTGTGGGGACGGCCAGTTGTAAGCGTTGTCCGCAGTCCACAAGGATAAAACCGATTGAGCCACTACGGTACGGGGGCTGTTGGCATGGTTGTTCCCATGTATGATATTGCAGTTCACCACAGGATGATTGCGGCGTCGGTCACCGGTTCAGTATCTGCTCTGGGTCCGGTGTGGGGACTGAAATGGAASAGGCGTGGTGCTTGTGGAATCGGCGCGAGAACTGGTCCAAAGTTCGGTACCTTTCTCTGRCACGGTTGCTGGTTCGGAACTGGTATGGCACATTGTTATTCGATCCTTATTTTCATCTTTTCCGTACTGGTTTGACACCAAAACGAGCGGCATGTGCTTGACTTACATAATTGGTCTGACGAGGGGGATTGGGGAGACTGGTCTGAGGACAGCGTGCCAGGCGTCCGTGGCGTCAACAAGGGAACGCGCGGAAAGCCCGGGGGAAATGGGGAGAGCTCTGGAGGGGGATAGCGTACCAGGCGTTCTCGGCGAGCGCATCCATTCACGGGGGAAAGCATCCAGCCACCAGATGTACCCGCAATCGGATGACCGATCACGGCCGCTGACTGCAAAACCAGATGTACCCGCAATCGGATGACCGATCACGGCCGCTGACTGCAAAACTAAATACCCGCAGTTGATATCGCCACCCACTTACGGTGAACATCTAAAGAGTGAGAAATCCGTTCTATGCTCCGGGGGGCGGACGGTGTGGGGCAGAAGGCGCGTTTGCACGCGTGCCCGACGTAAGCAGCACCCATGACTGATCAACAGGGGAAGGAGCCTTTGGTACAAGGGAAGGAAAGGGGTTGCTCGCCAGGGCAGCCAGCAGATGATCCGCCGCAGTGAGGGAATCAGCACGCTCTCAATAATCGGGGAAGCACGGCATTCACAGTTACCAGGCGCGGGACACGAGGAGGGTGATAGCGCTGAGTTGTAGATGGAATCTGCTATCCCATGAGCAAAACAACAGCTACTTCCCGCTGTTAAGGGGATCTGTTATCCCGCAAGAGCAGCCGACAGCCACTTTCCCCAGTTGACGGGATCTGTTGTCCCGCGAGAGGAAACTACAGCCACATTCAGTTGNCTGTTGTCCCGCGAGAGGAAACTACAGCCACATTCAGTTGTTAATGGGATCTGCTATCTCGCTGACGAAGTAATGAGTCATATCCGCTGGTGATGAGATCTGCCATTTCTTCCACAACCAGGTACGAAGAGGGTCGACGACCAGTGGGTGAAGAAATGCAAGAGAAAGGGGACAGGTGTGTGAGAGGGTGGAGTCGAGCAGAAGGGTCCGCCGGGGAAGGAGGAAAGGAGAGGCGAATGCAGAGAGAAAAGCGCGGATCCGTAACAGCGATGCCAGCACGCTTCTCGTAGCAGAACCGCGCGCCGTTGAAGAGCCGCTTTTCTTAGGCTCTGTCGTCCCCCGTCTACCTCGCGTAGGTCTCTGGTGCAATCGCTACAGAGATCGAACTTGCGTATCATACACCTTCCATTCTCGTTCTGACACAAGATTGCTTCTCTTCCGTTTTYGGCATTCACAAGCACGCAGATACACAGGCACCCACATACACACACGCTCGAACAGGGCGWGCTCACACTATCTCTATCTTATGTGTATCTGACCGCATTTACTGCAGGGCCTGATGTATCTCTCGGCAATTACGCCCACTAAATAAGTAAAAAGTGCTCGTGTAAGTATGCTCTCACAGATGCACGCACACACATGTCTACGCACGCTCTAGTATCAGTTACCGTTTTCTGGCCGTGGATCGTGCAAATCGAGTAGAGAGGGGGTGGTAGTTTCTCTCTCAGAGCAGCCGGCCGATCAGCCTGAGGGCGTCATYATCTCCGTACACTTGGACATAAAATTGGCGAAGAGCAGAGAGGTGGCCGCTCGAAGGAAAGGAGAGGTTCTGGAGAGCCCGCTGTACTTG